CACTCACCCTGCCCAGTGACCCAGGCATCTTTTCCTTTTAGATCCCACCCTCTGTGGGTTTTTGTTTTCTTTTTTTGAGACAGGGTCTCATTAAGTTGCATGGGCTAGGCTGAACTTACGATCCTCCTGCCTCAATCTCCTAAGTAGCTGCGGTTACAGACATGCTCCACCGTGTGTAGTCTTGAGTTTTGGTAGATGATCTGGCCCTGAGGCTTAGAACAAACTGGGTTCCTCTTGCAGCATGGCCTGTTTCAGTCCCTCACTCAGCACCCATCTTGCATGTTCTAGGCATAGCATGTCTGGGTGCATCAGTTTTTGCCTCAGGCAGATTGCTCTCTCCCTTTCCTCCTGTCTTGGTTCTCTCAGTTCTTTGTTGCAGTCAGTCTTTTCTGCCCCATCCCACAGTCCTACCCTGCACCCAGAGCAGCCCTTCGAGCCAAGTACACCAGCTCTCCTGTGTCCCCAGAAGGCTGGGGATGAGCACAGTGTCTTGCTGGCTCAACAGGTTGCTCTTGGAGGCCACCTCAGGTGTGTGGGTGGCCAGCCTGTCGAGGTGTGGGCTGCATCCACTGCATGCCGCTGGCTTGCCTTGGACTCAGGCTCCAGCCTGCTATTAGGGACCCCTACTTGTCTGCTCTCAGGTGTCCCCAGGTGTCATTGCCAACCCCTTTGCGGCAGGAATCAGCCACCGGAACAGCCTGGAAAGCATCTCGTCCATCGACCGGGAGCTAAGTCCTGAGGGCCCAGGCAAGGTCAGAACCAGCCGTAGCTGGCAGCCCTAGGCCCAGAGCCTGAGATGCTGGTTTCTGATTGAATCTGCTTTGCTCACAGGAAAAGGAGCTGCCTGTTCAGACCCTGCCGTGGGGGCCAGAGGCCACAGAGGCCACAGTGAGTGCTACACAGCCAGTAAGAGCCCTGAGCTGTGCCCTTCCATTGGAGCACTGTAGGACTGATCATAGCTGTGAGACTGGCATATAACCTGCTAGCATTGTGTCTGCTCTGTCCCCAGGCTCAGAGTCCAGAGCCCTTGAAACTGGACTACCGTGCCCTAGCCGCTGTTCCCAGCACTGGCAGCATGCATAGGGTCAGTGTTCAGTCTGTGTTGCTACTGTATTGCATTCCCCACACCACCGATCTGCTCACTTGCCTGTTAGGTCTCTTCTTTGATCTCACTTTACCTGGGGGCCCCACTACCAGCCAGACAAGTGCCATGGCAACCATGAAGGGAACCTTTGGTGGTTGGGGGAGGTGGTGTATAGCCTGGATTGCAGGAGGCCACGTTGGGCATGCAGTTGCACTGTGGGAGCTCTGCCTCCTAACCTGACAATATCATGTACTGTAATTCTTGCCCATAACCATGCAAGGCAGGTGCGGTGGTCCCCTTTCTTAGCTGAAGCCATAAAGTACAGAGGGAGTCCTTTGAATGTCCCTGGTCTCTTCCACTGCCCTCACCCTTACCAAGCAACTGGATATAGGGGACTCTGAGCTCAGCCTGTGACTGGCAGAGGTTCTTGGGGGTACAAGGCAGCTGGAGGCTACAGAGCCATCTGGGGTTGCTGGTGGCACTGGTATGCATGAGCTGCTGGGGGAGTGGCTGTGCAGGGCCATGTGGGAGGGGACTGCGTAACAAGGAGGCATGGGCTGAGTGTGGCTCAAAAACAGTTGTGGGCCTGGGGTCAGGCAGAAAGTTTATTCCTTACCAAAGGGTCAGCCCACTGAGAGTCCTACAGGATGGGAATGCTTGGGTGAGAATGCTGCCTAAGTAATGGGGGACACTAAAGAGCCAGGTGGGGCCTGGGGGCTGGCGGAGCCTATTCAAGGGCTTTTGGTCACTGACCCTCCTCAGCCACAAACAACCCGAGGAAGGAAGCCCTCAGGAGAGACAGGAGCCCAGCATCTTCTAAGAGAGGTGGACTGCTGTAGGAGATTGGCTCCTATGCTGCTGCCACAGTTCCTCCTTGGGGAATACAGCTCTGCCAGGACTTTCCCCTACCACTGTCTGGCTTTTCCAGGTACCATCTGGGCCAACTGGAGGGAAGATGACCTCGGCCCCCTGCTCTCCCAGTGGCCAGCAGGTAAGCATCCCCATCATAGGTATCCCATAGGGCTGGCAGTTGGGTGCTGATGTGCAGAGCCCCTAGGAAGGGGCTGTCAGACAACCATGCCCCACTCCCGGGGATACCTTCCTGACCGCAGCTGACCTGTAAGGGGAGGGTGCAGATCTTGGGCTGTGTACTTAGAGAGGCTCAGCCCCTAGGTCCCTTGCACTGGTGCCCTTACCCCTGCCTGCTGCATGGGGGAGGGCCAGGCGATGGGGACCCCTCCTGTACACTGCAGTGTGGGTTGCATACAAAGGCTCCCCCAGAGTCCAGCTCCCAGCCTCAGCCTCTCAAAGGCAGAGGCATTTGGTGAGTGTCTGCCGCATCCCTGCTACCCATCTTGGCTCCATCTCTCTCTCTCTCTCCCCCTCTTCTCCCTCCTCCCTCCCACTTTTCCTTTCTCTCTTTCCCCACATCCTCCCACCCTATTCCTGGACCTCTCACCCCACTCTTCTCTGGACCCCCACCCCCTGCCCTTTGCAGACAAAACCGGGGGTGATCCAGCCATTGGCTCCCCGGCCAAGTGGCTCCTCAGTCCCTAGGGGCAGAGATAGTCCCTGCTCTGTGAGTGCCCTGTCCCTCAGGGGCTGGGGGAGGGCAAAGCTTCCTTCCTGGGTAGAATTGTGGATGGGGGTTAGAAATCGATATGGATAGCTTGTGGCTGCATCGGTGCCTACAGCAGGGACAGCTGTCATAGTCCAGTTCATGAGAGATCTGTCCCCCAGCCACCCTCTCCAGATGAACTACCGGCCAATGTGAAGCAGGCCTACAGGGCCTTTGCGGCAGTGCCCACTGCCCACCCTTCTGAGGACAGTGCTACCCAGGTGTGTAGGGAGCAGTGTGTCCTTCTGCCATGCCTGCAGTGTGGGTGGGTGCCCCAGCTGGTGCCCCGGAGGAACACCTACTAGGTCTTGGGGTCCTCTCTTCCCCCCAGCATCCTGTGCCAGGCCCAGCGGCCTCCCCTGAGCAGCTGTCATTCCGTGAACGGCAGAAATACTTTGAGCTGGAGGTGCGGGTGCCACAGGCCGAGGGCCCCCCAAAACGTGTATCTCTAGTGGGTGCTGATGACCTTCGGAAGATGCAAGAGGAGGAAGGTGAGGAATGCAGCAGTAGGAGGGGCCCAGGTGTGGCGCTCCACCCGGCCTGACCGGCCATCTCCCACAGCCCGCAAGCTGCAGCAGAAGAGGGCGCAGATGCTACAGGAGGAAGAGGCTGCGGCCACGGGGCCCAGTGTGAGCCTTGCCCTGGATGGGCAGGCCCTGGAAGAGGAACAGCAAGAGGATGAGCCACCCTGGGCTGGCCCCAGCCCTACAGGAGGGTGAGAGCAGCACCACAGCCCTGTGTTGCTCAGCGTGGGCCCTTCCTGCAGTAAGCCTTTTCCCTTTCCCCAGGTCCAGCCCAGCGTCGCCCCCACCCATGGTGGGCAGTGCCCCTGTACGGACAGCCAAAGCCGAGCGGCGCCACCAGGAGAGGCTGCGCATGCAGAGCCCAGAACTGCCTGTACCTGAACGGGCCCTGTCCCCTGCAGAGCGCCGGGCCCTAGAGGCTGAGAAGCGGGCACTGTGGAGGGCAGCTAGGTAAGCCTGGGCCCTGCCCCACTCCCACCACATGGAGGGCCCAGCTTTGCCTACCCACTGCTTTCCCACAGAATGAAGTCTCTGGAGCAGGATGCCCTTCGAGCACAGATGGTTCTCAGCAAATCCCAAGAAGGCCGGAGCAAGCGAGGGCCCCTGGAGCGTCTAGCTGAAGCCCCATCACCTGCCCCCACCCCATCACCCACCCCCTTGGAAGGTGTGTGTCTGAGAGGAGGGGAGGGCTCATTCTGCCAGGCAGGGCTCTTCCAACACTCGATTTTTGTCCCTTCAGACCTCAGTCTCCAGACCAGCACCTCGCCCGGACGCCTGGTGAGGAGCCAGAGGCTGGCGCTTTCCCGTACACCCCCTGGGAACAGGGGAGGGATTCTAGACTGCTACTGCCCACTGCCCTCACCTCTCCCTCGAACTGTCTGCTTCTTCTCCCCTCACGCTGTCTTTCAAGCCTTTGTCTGGAAAGAAGTTTGACTACAGGGCATTTGCCGCCCTCCCTTCTTCCAGGCCTGTCTATGACATCCAGGTACCGGTGCTTCCAGGCCTTTTCTTCTGCATGAACATGTGCATGGGCCCGGTTATAGCTCCTGTACCACTGTTCTGTCTACCCTTTTCTGTCTGTTTCTGTGCCCTGTGCCAGCTCTGCCCTGACTCCACTGAGCTCTGTGAGCCTCAGAGCCAGGGGGCCAGTCAAGTCCATGTGGGTGGTTTGAGGCAGGTCTGGGATTGGCCCTGACCAATCCTTCTCCCCATCACAGTCGCCAGACTTTGTGGAGGAGCTGAGATCCTTGGAACCATCCCCCAGCCCCGGTGAGTTGGTGCGTGGCTGGGGGTGAGCTCCCCAGCTCCTTGGTCATCCTACGCTCACAGTGTCCCTGTCCCCATCCCCCACATAGGCCCACAGGAGGAGGATGGAGAGGTAGCCCTGGTGCTCCTGGGAAGGCCCTCACCAGGTGCCGTGGGCCCTGAAGACATGACATTGTGCAGCAGCCGCCGAGCCATGCGGCCTGGGCGCCGTGGCCTGGGCCCTGTGCCCTCCTAATGAGCTGTGCCTCCCTGGGCTTGGGATGGGGGCACTGCCAGCTCCAATACTGTCCTTGCCCCAAGCCTTTTGTTTGTTTCTCGTACTGGGAATTGAACTCAGGACCTTGCACTTGCCAGACAGGCACTGTGCTGCTGAGCTATATCCCCGGCCCTGCCCTGAGTCTTTTTACCTGGGTGTTAGCATTTTGAAGAGACCCCTCAGGAGTTCTGGCCTCTAACTCCCACCCACTCCGCAAGCCAGGATCTCATGGCAAGACTGTAACTAGTGATGTTTGTACAACCAAAGACTCTATTTTGTGGTTTAAGGAGAATAAAGTTAACTACGTTTTACTCCCGTCTGTCCATCCATACGTTCATACATTGGTCCCAGCAGGCTGGCCCCACTTTTTGCCCTTTTCCCAGCAGAGCTGCCCCACCAGACCCTGAGAGGCAGTATCCAGTAGTCAGGACACTGCTGCTGGACTGGTGGACAGTTGGGGACACAGTGGGTGCTTTATTGGGAGCAGCACTAGAGACCTCTGCTGGGCAGCTGCACGCGCACAGGGAGCAGCACTTGCGTTTGCTCAGTCAGCGGCCACTGCACCTGGGTGACAAAGAAGAGGCGGAAGTGCTCCAGGCGCGCCTCCTGGAACTGGGCAGGATCGTACTCTGCCCCATCAGTGGGCCGCAGCAGCGACAGGTACCGCTCTTGCTCCAGCAGCCCGCGGCTCAGCAGCGCCTGTGCCAGGCCTGGCTGCACAGCATCCAGCTGTCGCTGCACCACAGGAAACAGGTCCACTTCTCGAAAATCAAACACCAGCGGTTTCCCATACCTATGAGCACTGCCAGTGAGCACAGGCAGGGTAGACCTGGGGACCCTGTCTTCCCAGTGTCCTGCCCACCCCACCTCAGTGCCCCCAGCAGTGCCAGCCGGATAGTCTCAGGCCTCAAGTGCTCTGGGTTCATTGTATCCACGTAGTTAGTGTCCTGGTAGCGCAGGAAAGTGGCTGCCTGGCCAGAAGGATCTATAACGAGAGGCCACCTACTGGCGGCCACCAGGTCACCCCAGGGCACAGCCATCCCAGACTGGCCTAGGCCCATCTGAGTGCAGACTGACCTGCCATCAGCGCTAATGCGGTTGCCTACATCCTTCATCAGCACATCGTGAAGTTCAGTAACCTGGCACTTCAGCCCTGGAGCCTCCTCTTCCTCTGTGAGGAGGTTAGGGGAATCCTCTTGGGAGATCCCAATCCAGACCCCTCCCTGGGTCTTCCCACCCAGCACCCCCAGCAGAAGCTCCACCCACCCTCCTGGCTCTGCTCTCGCAGCTCCAGTCGGGCCATGGCCAGCATCTCCTCAGCCTTCTGTGCCTCCTGCCGCAACTTGCCCACATGGACCTCTGTATCCTTGATGGCCTGGGGAAAAGTCCACACCGTCACCTCCCTTCTCCCTCCAGCTCAGAGGTACTGCCTTAGGCCTCACCCACCTCCCATAGTGGCCTAGGTACTGGCCTCAAGTTCCAGGACAAAGACACTAGCAGCACTGCCTGGCAGGGAAAGGCCTGGGCTGGTGCAGAGCGAGGAGAGTAAAGGAAGCAGGACAGCACGGGGTCACCGCACCTGCAGTGTGAGCTCAGCCTTGCCTGGGCACTTCTGCTGGCATCTGTCATGCTCTGAGATCCTCCGATGGAGCTCACAGTATGCCTGCTGTAACTAAGAGTGGGGGGAAAGGAGGGGACACTAACATTGGCCTGCTTTGGGGGGCAGCATGACCCATCTGCTCCATCCACCATTCTTCCCTGCTTACCACCTTCTGACATTGCTGCTGCTCCCTGGCCAGCTGCTGCACTTTGAGGGTCAAGCTGCAAGGGAGAGAAGGGCAGTCAAAGGATGCCCTCCCTACTGCCCAATAGCACCCCCGCTGCTCCTTAGTACATACCGCTTGGCCTCTGCAGCCTGCTGCTGCTGGGCCTCCTGAGCCCGGCGCTGCCACTCAGCCTCCATGTTCTGCAGCATGGCCTCAGTAAGGCTCAGGTCCCAGGACTGCAGCACAGTGGACACTGCATTCAGGGAAGCCACCTAGTGACAGGAACACATGCACAGCAAGGGGTCTGCTCAACCTACGATGGACATACTTTATTTTAGAGAACAGGTCATGGTTCAGAAAGGTGACAGTATGATAGCTAGTTCCTCATGGACATGAGGTGCAGCTGCCCCCAAAGCCAAGACCTGGGAGGGATCTCTAGGACACTCTGCCCAAATCCAGGAAGGCCCATGTCCTGTGGTAGGGCCACCCTACATTACCTGTCTAGCAACCCAGGGTCTCCACCTCCATTCTGTCCAGTAAATACACTTCTGAAGCGCTGCTTTCCTCTGTGGTCCCTTTGTAGGACACCCCAACACTCCAAGTTTCCCCTTCTCAGTTCCCCAGGAGTATAGGGGTACAGCCTGGGACTTAGAGCCAGTCACTCCTATGCATGGCTCTCCCAAGCCTATGGAGCAGACTGATTATCATGGGGCACCAGTCTCCCTTGGGGTGACCAATCCCAGGATGCTGTTAATGAATGGCTGTCTCTGAGTCCTACAAGATACCTGCTGTCCAGAGGGGAGGATATGGCCAGCTCCTAGGAGGGATGAGGTTGCTGACTATGAACAATAGAAGAATCAAATGCACACAGCCCTACCAGCCAAAGATGCAGGAGGCTGAGGCAGGACTGCCATGAGTTTGAGGCCAGCTTGGGCTACATAGTGAGTTCAAGGCCAGCCTGAACTACATAGCAAGACCCTGTCTCATAAATACATACATAAATAAACAGGCAGCTAAGTAGCCAGGTGGTCAGTGGGTAGCAAAGGCAGGGCAGGCTCACTGCAAATTGTTGTACGAACAACAGAGATGGAGTAGGTGGAAGGGGGTCAAACTTTCTGCAGGGAGAGATGGCCAGGAAACCTGGGCCAGGTTACAAGACAAGGAGAGGCCCTAGGGCACCTGAAAGTGAGCAGATGCAAGAATTTCATGACGGTGTGGAGGGAAAGAGGCGAAAGACAGAGATGAGGGGTGAGGAACACAGAGGGTCCCAGACCTGCCATCCCAGAGGTCTGGCTGACCAGAGAGGCACAGAGGAGAAGGGGCCATCTGTAGGGCTGCTGGGGACATTCAGACACTTGTCATCTCCTTGGCTTCCATACACTTATGTTAAACACAGCCCCAGTCAATGGGCCCTGTTCCCTTCACAACAGCAAGGCTATTAGCTCAAAGCCCACTCCAGAGCCACACTCGAGTTATTATACATCCAGCTCAGTACATCCAAAGTAAGCACAGGACAGATGTGAGATGCTTTGCATGCCTTGCAAAATTATACACATGAGAAGATCATCCCTAGGGTTTCTGGATCCCCCAGGCACGGCTGCCCTTCAGAGCTCTTGGACTTGTCACTTGTTGCTGAATAACTTTGAAGGACGCTGGGGCCCCTGACTGAAAATTTGTCCCAGTGCTGCCTCAGTAAAGCTCAGCAGGTTCCACCGACACCCTTTGGCCAGCCTCCAGCCCCACAGTTCCCCATGGGCTCATCATTTCCCTGCAGCCACAAGACAACGTTCCACTACCACCCTCCATGTGGGAGCCACTCAGACACTTAAAGCATGGCCTCACCTCCAGATTTCTCTTTGTAGGTCACCTCCTTGGGGAGGCAGGGCTATCCTGGATCCTTTTCTTAAAATTCCAGTCACAAACCAGGTGTGGTAGAACATGCCTGTGATTCTAGCATTTGGCAGGCTGAGGCAAGAGGATCGCCACAAGGTCAAGGCCAGCCTGGACTACATAGTGAATTCAGGGCCAGCCTGAACTACCTAGCAAGACCCTGTCTAAAAACAAAAACAAAAAAGGTGCAAACACAGCCCCTGCTCTAAGAGTCTAAACCAGTGATGGCAAACCGATAGTACAAGTGCCACAGCCAGCTATTTGTTATTAAAAGCTCTAAAGTTTCACCATCACTGGTCTAAATGCTTTTCCCTGTTGCACTTTTCACATTCTCCATAACACTGATCATACTCTGCACTGATGATCCCTTTACAGTATGGATTTTGGGACAGAGGGGCTTCATTGTTTGAGGAAATGCCTCCAGCACCAAGAACAGCTCCTTGCACAAACAAGGATCAGTCATTTCAAGGGCTGGGCAGTGAAGGAATGAAAGCATGGGTTACTGTACACCTGATTGTTCCTACATGTGAATGCATAGGCAGCAAGAAACAGGAGAACGTACATATGGACAGATTCACGGATAAACTAGTATACAGAGAAATGCATAGATAGATGAATAAATGGGTGGACGGATGATAAATTTATTATGAAGTACATGACTTCAGAGTAAAGGTGATCCAGAATTAGGCTCTTACAAAGACTCAGGCTCAGCCTCACACCTCTCAAGCCTTAATGATGGTAGGGTAACTCCATCCTGTGTTACAAAAAGCACTGTCTTTCTGGGCTTCAAGTTATCTCTACAGATAAAACATACGACACAATAAAAAGACAGAAAATGAGGCAGAATAAATGGAACCTACAGGATGGCAGAAATAGATCCACTGGTTGTCAGCCACAGATTTTTAAATCTTAAAGTCACTATGTTCAAGGAGATGGAAAACAAGCAAGAATTTTGGTAGAGTAGGAAGATTATACATACATATACTGTATATACTGTTACATATACTGTACGTACAGTATATGTAATGAAGGAAATTTCGTGGAATTAAAATGATCAAAATTAAAAACAAAATATATGCATCATGTAACAACTAACTAAATACAGCTGAAGAGAGAGTTAGTGAACTAGAAGACAATTCAGAAGAAAATATCCAGAAAAAACTGAGACAAAATAATGGAAAATACAGGGGGAAAAAAGTCATTAGTGCTGATCATCATCTATAACCCTCCCTCAACCTTTTGCACAAGGCAAGATGATGCTTTCTGGTCAACTTTTGGTTTGATAGAACCAAATAATTAAGTCCAGCCAGTGAGCTACACACACAAGCAATTTGTGCCAGACCTTCTAAGATGCTCCACCTCTGGTACAGTAACCAGCAGTGTTCAAGACAGTGGCTTCTCTGTTGGCCTGTGTTGTAGTCAGGAGTAGCAAGGAGAATTGATACATACAGGACACATAATTTACAGTATTACTTATAATGGTCACCTAAGGAGTCAAATACAAGGAAGGTGTAGGAAATCTGTCCACAATACTAAAGACCTAGAAAATCCAACCAAGGGCCCGGATCCTATGGCAATAACCTGCATGAGTTCAGCTGAAAACCTAGAGCCCACAACAATGACTCATGCAAGTTTATTTCACTTGCTGGGAAGGCCCAAAGGTCAGAGGTGGAAGCTAGAAATTCTGTGCCAGCAGGGTAACTATTCCAGCAGTCAACCTGTGTTAGCAGGTTGAGGGTTCTGCAATGGAACCAAGAAGCAATGCTCAAAGTAAGGACCAGGGCTCCCCTGAAAAGTACCACAGCCATCCTCAGTGACAACAAGGTCCCGAGCTCCTCCGACAATGAGAACATCCCAGTCCATATCAGGAAGCCAGCATGACAAGCTTCTCCTAGAGATTGAACAGCACATATCTTCCCCTCCAGAGCCAGGAAGCTATGCTCAAAGTAAGAACCAAAGTTCCCCCAAAGTGAACTGGAGCCATTCTCAGCAAGAGGTCCCAAACTCCTCTAAGAATAATAGCCAAGTGCATATCAGGGAAGCCACCATGAGCTTCTCCAGGAGAACCAACAGCTCTAAACAACAACATTTAGGAGAACCCACAACATTATTCTTCCTCTCCAGGTCTCTTTTCTATGCTGGCAGTAGTCCTCAGGCGGACCATCCACACTCAGCACCACACTGATTCAGTTCAGCTTGTGTTTAAGTTGACTACCAGTTATCAGCCCACTACAGCCTGGATCCCTATCAGACCACAATGAGAAGAAGCCTCCTGCCAGCCCTCAGCGAACATGAGCACAAGATATAAGCTTATTTGGTTTTAAGCCAGCAAAATTTAGGGATTACTTGATCCAAAGGATATCCTAATTGACCCTGACAGGTACAAAAATATGGGACTGTGATAAGGAGGTCTGTCATACAAATATTTGTAGTATGAAAATAAAGGCAGAAACAATAAAGAAAAAATGGCCAACAACTTTTCAAAACTCTCTAAAAGAAAAACAAATTGAGGCGCTTTTGCTTTGCCTGGCACAGATTTTTCATAAAGTGACCATGATCAAGACGCTAGCATTTACATCAGGATTAGACACATAGACTGTGGGATGGAACTAGAACCCCAAATGGAACTGCATATGGTATTTGATTCAGGGTGCAGGTGACAATCTGGAGCAATATAGAGAGTACACTCTTCAAGATATTCTTAGGACAATCACTTGTACCTTCTTGTCAAAAATCAACAACTCACAAAAAACAGAAATAAGGTACATTAGATTGTAGATCTAAATGGAAATATTTAATGAACTAAGAAAATATCTTCCTGTCTGGGGAACATGGAGAGACAAGTTGATACCAGTGGCATTCGTTTTTGCTTTTGTTTTTGTTGCTGTTTCAGTACTGCCCCACATGTTAGGCTCTCCACCCTAAAATATAAGCCCAGCCCTTCCTAAGTTGCCCAGACGCCTTGAATTTGCCATCCTCTTGCCCCAGCCTCACAAAGAGCTGGGATGACAGATGTACTCCACTGCAACTGGATTGGTGTAATATTGTAAGACTTCTATTTTACTTTCTTTGTTGGATTACTAGCTACTCTTATGTTACTAGTTGGCTTAGGGTTTAGAGTATATATCTATAACATCACAATCTACTGCCAAATGATACCAACTTCTTATAAATTAAGAACCCATGACAACACACTTCTATTTTCCACTCCCAGTTCTTGTACTTTTTCTTATCACACACTAACACAACTTTAATTTCTGCAGTTTTGAATATGTAAACCTACACAGGTTATAAAACCTCCAGCAAGCCAGGTGTGGTGGCTCACACCTGTAATCCCAGCACTTGGAAGGCTGGAGTAGGACTCTTGCAAGTTTGAGACCAGCCTGGGCTACAAAGTGAGCTTCAGTCCAGCCTGAACAGCGTAGTGAGACTCTGTCTCAAAAAGACAAAAAAGACAAAAAAACAAAAAAACAAAAAACACCAGCAAGCGAGGCATGGAGGAATTATAAATTTAAGCCCAGAGCAATCTAGTAGAGCCTCTAAAAAACAAGTGTAAGGATGCAGCTCAGGGTGAAGTCTCTAAGTTCAGTTCCTCATAGGGCTAAGAAAAACAAAACCCACAATTGTTCTTGTTTCTTCAGCTACCTGATAAATAAAGACTAGGACACTATCCTATATGTTTCACCTATGCAGTTGCTATTTTTGGTGCTCCTATCCTAGTGCAGATCTGCACACCTGGCTGCGGTCCCTGACAGACTAGTTTCCACTGTACCTGTGCTGTGCTGTGTCTGCTGGTGACGAGGTCTTCCAGCTACTGCACGTCAGAAAAAGTTTGTATTTTGCTTTCATTTTTGAAAAATATTTCCATGGATATGGAATTCTAGGGTGACCATGTTGGGATGCCCCCCACTTCGGTCCTTCAGATATCTTGTCCACAGATGTCTCCCTTGTGTCATTTCCAACAAGAAACTTGCTGTAATTCTTGTCTTCGCTCCTGTCTGTAGCACCTCATTTTCCTTCCATCACTGGCACTGAGACTTTGTTCTGATGTCTCACAAGGCTTTCTCCAGGTTTCCTGTGCTCAGGGCTTGCTGAACCTTGGAGAATGAAGGCTTATATTTTCCATCCAGTTTTGGAAATGTTTAGGTGTTTAATTCTTCAAATGTTTCTATTCCCTGGTCTTCTTCTCTCCTTTAAGAACTCCAGTCACATAATACACACTACAGTCAAATGTACGTTAAGCTTGCTGAAGTTGTCCTATGGCCCACCTTTGTGTGTGTGTGTGTGTGTGTGTGTGTGTGTGTATGCGAGAGAAACAGAGACAGAAACAGGGACAGAGACATAGACAGAAAGGGAGACAGGGTCTCACTTTATAGTTCAGATTGGCCTTGAACTCACTACATAGCCAGGCTGACCTTCAACTCGCCATGATCCTCCTGCCTCGGCCTACCTGTAACCCACACCTTGGATTACAGACATGCACCACCACACCTGGCTCATCTTCTTTTCCTTTGAGATTCTTTCTTTTCTGTTTATTTTGCATGTGCTATTTAGCTAAATAGTTATTTATGCTGAATATGTTATTTAGCATATTTTCTATTACTAGGTCATTAAATTTGTTATTATTTACTTGTACATTAATCCCACGCATGGTATTTTATTTCAGACATTAAAAATTACAAGCTTACAGGAAACTGTAAAAATAATACAATATTCCTAGGTCCCTTTAGCAAGTGTCCCCCAAGGACAGTATCTTATCCAACTCTCTAACAATAAACAAAGGAAAATACTGGCTTCTCATTCTATTTCAACTTTACAGGTAATCATTCCTATGACTGTGTGTGTGTGTGTGTGTGTGTGTGTGTGTGTGTATGCATGTGTGCACTGCACAACCACATCACAGATTCAGAACTTCCCCACCCCCAGGGTTCCTCCTGCTCCTCCCTGCCAGTCATGCCCGTCTTTCTTCCCATCGCCTTCTCCTACAAGCCACTAATCTGGTCTGCATCTCTGTAATTTTATCATTTGGAGAATGTTATGCAAATGGAGTCATACAGTTAGTAACTTCTGAGAGGGCTCCTTCTTGCTCAAGCACTGCCGTTGGAGAGCCCCCCAAGCTGTTCTGGCATGACTAGCTCCTTCCTTTTCCTCTGTGTGTGGTAGGTGGGCATTCCAAGGTGAGCCACAGCTGGTTTAACCATTCATCTGCTGACAGGCATCTGGGCCATTCCCAATAAAGCTGCTTTGAACATTTGTGTACATTTTTCTGTGGATAATTTCCTTTCATTAGAATGCCTATGATTGGGCCAGGCATGGTAGTGCATACTTGTAATTCCAGCACTCAGGAGGCTGAGGCAGGAGGATCACTGTGAATTTGAAGCCAGCCTCAGCTGAACTTTTTTTTTTTTTTTTTTTTTGTACCAGGGATTGAACTCACAACCTCATGCTTACCAGGCAAACACTTGAGCCATTGAGCTAAATTCTGGGCCCATACATAGTGAACTTAAAAAAAAAAAAAAAAAAAAAACTGCCATGATCGTAACTACTGAGACACATGCTAAATATATGTTTAGGGGCTTTCTTGGTTTTGGGTTTTTTTTTTTTTTTTTTTTTTTTCTTTTTGGTCTTTTTCCTTTTTATCGGTACCGGGGATTGAACTCATGACTGCCTGCTTGCAAGGCAGGCGTTTATGCCGCTGAGCTAAATCCCCAGCCCCCTGTTTTTGTTTTTTAAGAAACTAGAAAACTTAACTCACGGATGGGATGGGAAAAAAAAAAGAAACTAGAAAACTATTAGCAAGAAAAATACATTTTACATTCCTACCAGCAAGGTGAGAGATCCAGGCTGTCTGCATCTCTGTCAGCACTGAGTATTGTCCCCATTTTCCCTTTTGGCTGTTGTCATACATCTGTGACAATGCCAAACACCTCCTGCATTTATCTGCTATTGTTACAGCCTCTTCTGTGAAATTGCTCTCCTGGTCCTTAGCTCATTTTATAACTGGATGGTACATGGTGTTTGTATGTGTGTGTTTGTTGCAGTGTTGGAGATTAACCCAGAGCTACATCTCCAGGCCCTTTTTATCTTTCATTTGGGTCTTGATAAATTGTTCATGCTGGGTAAAATCTACTCCTGCTTCAGTCTTCCAGTGTGCTGGGGTTATAGGTATGTGCCACCACATCCAGTTAAATTTTCATTCAGCCAGGCAGATACTTGTGCCTCTGAGCTATATCCCAGTCTCCTGATACAAATTTTCATTTTGATGAGGTCTAATTGATTGATTTTTTTTCTTTTTTGATTGACCTTTTGGTGTTGTAGCTAAGAAGTCATCACTATGTCCTAGGCCCCAAAGATTTTTGTCTTATGGGTTCACTGAAAAGTTACACAGTTTACATTTTACATCACAATCTCTAGTCCATTTTGAGTTAGTTTTAAATCAGGTGTGGGGTTCTGATCAAGGCTTACTTCTTGGCCTGTGGTCACAGTGGCTCTCATAGCCCAGGCTGAGACAGCCATCCTTTCTGACGTCTGATTCCCCCTGCACCTCCTCCCTCTCCATAGCCCCCAATTACCTGTCCCCTGACTGCTCACCAGCACCAGCTGCCTTAGGTCCTCTCCTCAGCACCCCTGGATGCCCACCCACACCCCATGCCTCATAGAACCCACTACCATCAACACAGGCAGCCATTGGGCCGACCAAGTCAGTAATTGAAGCCCAGAGCAGTGCCCACAGAAGATCAGCCGCGGGTGGGATCCAGGGCCCCAGATTGGACAAAGCCTCTGGCACCCTGCATTCGTAAGTGTGGAAACAAGATCTGCCAGCAGGCTGAGTCCACCCCATATCCATGCAGGTCTCGCCATAAGAGAATAAGTCTGGAGAGCAGGTGAGCCTAAAGGGGCAAACTGAGTTGAACTGAAGGAAAGGAAGGTAGAGGCATTCTGACCTGGCAGAGTGAGTCCAGCTGACACACACCTGCTTCGCTCCAGGGATGGGAGCAGCGCCGCGGGGCGGAGAACCGAGAAGAGAGTTCAGGGCCCGCCCCTGGACCCCTGGCCGCCCCTACCCCCAGCTCCTAGCGACTTCTGGACACTGACGCGGCAAGCTGCTGCCCACGCCGGCCCGACCCACACCTGCGCAGGAGTGTTCCCGTCGTCCGCGTACACGCGCGGGTCTGCTCCGAGCTTCAGAAGCACCTGTACGGCTTCCAGATGGCCCCCAAAGGCGGCCCGGTACAGCGGCGTCCGACCGAAGGCGCCCTGCGGAGCGGCTCTCTGAGTGAGACCGCGGCCGCAGGGAGCAGCTTCCCGCGGCCCTCGAGCTCACCCGCCCGCAGCACCCACCTTGCTGTTGGGGCTGGCGCCGAGCTCGGCCAGCAGCCGGATGGCCTGGGGCTGCCCACCCGCGGCCGCCTCGGACAGCGGCGTATTCCCGTGGCTGTCCTCGCACTCCACCATGGCCACGAGCCGCTGCAGTCTGCGCGCCCGGCCCGCCTCGTCTTGGCCCACGCCATCGCGGGTCAGCAGCTGCTCCACCTGCGCCACGCGCGGGCTCCAGTCCCGCCTCGCCCGGTCCCGCCCCGGTCGGCCCCCGAGACCCACCCACGCCGCGCTCAGACCTCGTCCAGGACCGCTCTGATCTCCGCCAAGTCCCCGTCGAAGGCCGCATCCAGGAGGCGGCGGCGGCGCTGCAGCTCCTCCAGCCGCTCGCGCTGCGCCGCCTCCTCCTCCTCGCGCCGCCTCCGGGCCGCTTCCTGCTCCTGGCGCACCGAGGCCAGGTAAGCCTGCGAGGTGTGGCCAGAGGGCACTGTCCGCGGCGACGGGCTTAACGTCCGTCCGCAGCCCGAGGTCATGGTCTCCCCATCCCGCCCAGAAATGGTGGCCCCAGCGTCCTGAGCTTCCATTCCTTCCCTGATTCAGACTTTCCCCTCCTCAGGCCCTGTGGCTCCGCTGCTCACCTCCCTCTGCAGCTTCTCCATCTGCTCCAGGTATTCCTGGCGCTTCCGTTGACGGAGAGCCAGCTCCCTCCTTGCCAGGTGCTGCCGGAAGGCACACTGGATGACAGTGGCTGCTTGGTCCTCTAAACTTGGCCCTGGGGTGGGGAGAGGACCCATATGGACCCCAGTACTCCCCTCCAATCCGCCATCCCCTCAGTTGCCGGGGCCCAGCCAAGCCAGGTGAGCCTGCCACTCCTGGTTAACCTCGTGGTGGGCCCTGCAAATCCTCTGAGAACACTTAAAATCCGTAAGTTGATCCTCGAGCCAAAATAATTCACAAACAGAGACCAAAGAAGGAGGTTCTAGGGGTGGAAACCAAGGAAAGAGAAAAGATCTAGGGCTTGATAGGAAGACCGTGAACGATGGAAATCTCCACTAACTGCACAGTTTGAGAAGACAGACACAGGGCTGGGGATTTAGTTTAGCTTCTTCCTGCCAAATGCAAAGTCTTGAGTTCAATTCCTGGCGCGCGTACACACACACACACACACACACACACACACACACACACACACGCACACACACAAGAAAAATAAAAATGAAAAGGCAGACACTTGAAAAATTGGAAGGAAACCAAATAGTAAAGGCTAAAACCGAGGTAGAGTTTGTATTAACTTTCCTCTTAGGGACATAATATCCAATGCCCACAGTTTACAGAAGAGATTTAATTTGGCTCATGGTCTTGGGGGATTCAGTCCATGGTCAGCTGGTTCAAGGCAGGAACATCATGGCAGAAGGGGGTGACAGAAAAAAAGGGGGTGGCAGAACAAAGCTGCTTAATTCATGTTGGCCAGGAAGCAGAGATGGGGAACAGTGCCAGAGAGAAAGGTCAGTACATAATACCAGATATAGTACCTAAGGTCCCACCTCCATGACCACACAGACAACAACTTGATTGTGCTTTACTCATCTGCTAGGCAATTCTTAATTCAGTGAAGATGATGTATCAGGATTAAAGGTCACAGTTCAGAAGTGTCAAATGCCAACTATAACTCAGATTTATGTTAAGGCTCAAGAAAAGGAGATAGCACCACCCCCTTTTTTTTGTCTTTTTCCTTTGTATCCGTACCAGGGATCGAACTCACGACTGCCTGCTTATAAGGCAGGCTCTTATGCCGCTGAGCTAAATCCCCAGTCCCACCACTCCCATTTTTAAAAGGTCTGAGCAGGTCAAAGTGGGATCTGGTTGATTCTTTTACTGGACGGAATGACATGACTCTCCCACAAAGCCTGTTAGCCTAAGTACCTATAATGAATGAGAGGAATCTCCACAAAAATGAAGGCTGTGGGCCTGGGATTTAGCTCAGTGGCTTAAGCGCCTGCCTGGCAAGCATGAAATCTGAGTTTGATCCCTGGTACCAAAAAAAAATGAAGGCTGTATCTGTTGGCAGATGAAATTGATGAGTGACAGACAGAGCCAAAAGAGGGCAGGAGAAGGAAAAATTTCCCACAGAGAGAAGGGGCACAGGAAAGGATAGTCCAAGGAACTCCTTGGGGACACAGAAATGAACCCAGTTTCAGGGAAGGGGACTTCCCAGGACCAGGAGGAAAATGGAACCTAGCGTGGATATGACAGGGTCCCATTCTTCCCTTTTCCAAAAGAGGGTGTCCACTGCGGCCCTGTTCCACACAGTCATTTGGAGTCCTTGGAACCACAAAGCCTGTCAGAGTGATAAAGCAATTGATCACATCAATAGCTGAGAAAAATTACATGGTTCTCTTTATAGAAATAGAAAAGGCAGTTAGCAAATATCAACATTTTTTAATTTTTAAAAGACTTCAGGGCCAGGGATATAGCTCAGCATGGCAAGCACATGATCCTGAGTCTGATTCCTGGTACCTTTTTTTTTTTTTTTTTTTTTTTTGGTACTGGGGATTGAACTCACAACCAGGCAGGCACTTAAGCCACTGAGCTAAATCCCCAGCGCCCCCCCACTCCCGTACCATTTTTTTTTTAAAAGAAAGTCTTCAGAAACCAAGAATAAAAGGGACCTTGCTTAATTTGATAAACCGAAATCCTTGGCAAACCTGATACTTACTGGTGAAAAGTTAAAGTGGTGTTTTTAGAATTAGTAATGAGGGAAGAATGTTCATTAGTACTGTGGGCTTGTTATTCATTATGCCTATTTCTTTTGAATAATATTTTTGCAAGTCTAGCCAATGTAATAAAAAGAATGAATGAGGAAGAAGAAGAGGGTGAGGAGGAAGAAAAAAAAACAACCAAAGTAGTCTTTATCTGGAAATCATAATTAAGCACATAAAAATCTAAAAGAGTCATTGTGGTGCATTCCTGTAATCCCAGCATTGGGAAGGTGAGGCAGGATTACCTCAGCTTTGAGGATAAACTGGATGACACAGGCAGACTCTGCCTAAAATGGAGGAGGGGGGAAATGTGCTTATAAATTATTAGATTTAATAAGCAAGCCTACTAAGCTTTCTGAATATAACCTCACAAATGAGTTGTATAGCTCTATAAAGCAACAACTTTTTTTTTGTCCTACAGAGCTAGGGATTAAGTCTTAGGACAAAGGGAACAATCTAGGGCTTCCATTGGGCCCTACTCCAGGCCAGAGGCTGGGACATCTGTGTGGGGAGAGGCCTGTATGAAGCCAACAGTTCCTGGACCTCGAGCCCCCACCTGGCCCAGCCCCCAGACATTCATGCCAGGAGATGTCCTGGTTGCTCACTGTTCTCCGCTCTTCTCTTAGAGCCCTGAAGGCCATCTCTAGATCCTCCCACGGACAACATCTGAGCTGGAAAGTGCCACAGAGCAGGACACGAGGCCTGCCTTCCATGGAGGCCACAGAGGGAAATGATGAAGTCCCCTTGACAACGCAGGGGGAGTAAATAAATCCCTGTACAGTGAATTTTGGCCAGGAGGACACTGGAAGCAGGCTCTACAGTTCATCTCTGCCCTCACTGACCAGCCCTTTTCCCAGGGATGCTGCACAGGTCACATGCAGAGCTGCCTCGGCCTCTCCACCTCTCCTGCCTCCCTCACCGGATCCCAGTCAGGAACTGCCATTGAGGCCTTCAAGGCTTTAGGATATCAGTGACATTTCTGGGCCCCCAGTGACCGGGTGCATACTAACATATCCTCTGCTAGAGGAAAGACAAGTAAGTCACCATGGCTTTTGCTATCCCATTCTAATCAAGGCCTACTACATCCTGGGAAGTTCCCTGATCCCTCCTTCTGGGAAGAGACACAGTGAAGCCCGATTTACAGCTGTTCTGTGTGACATGCTAGAGCTTTAATCTTTGGTCAGGAGTGCCCTGAGCCTTGAACCTTGCATTTTGTTGTCTACTTTTTTCCCTCAGAGGTCTGGAAAAGAATGCATTGGCCTCTGTGATGACTCATCTCGATTGTCAACTTAGTAAAGCACTCTGCTGGGTGTCTGGGTGGCCATGATCTTGGAGACTGCATCTGATCCTGGCATAAAACCCAAAAGTCACAGAATAAAAGCCTGCTGAATTTGAAAAATTGATATGGGCAGGTGCAGTGGCACAGCTACTTAGAACACTGAGCTAAGGAAAATGCTCGAGTCCAGGAGTTTAAGACCAGCCTGAACAACATGGCAAGGCAATATCTCAAAAAAAGAAAAACAAAATGAAATATAAATCAAGCTAGGAATGGTGGGCATGACCTCAGCACTAGTGAGACTGAGGCAGGAGGACATGAGTTCAAGGCTAGCCTGGAGTACGTAGTGAGACCCTATCATTAAAAAAAAGAAAAAAAGTTGTAAATATGTGGTATCTACAAAACATTTATTCTGAAACCAAAGACATAAACAGGTTGGACGGAAAGAAGCAAGCAGTAGTGGAAAGAAGGATGGAGTAGCTGTGCTATTATCAAACAAAATATACTTTAAATCAAAAAAATTGGCCAGAGACAGAAGACATTATATAGCCACAAAAGATTCAGTACTATAAGAATATATACCAACAACCAGGTGTGGTGGCACATGCCTATAATCCCAGCACTTGGAAAGCTGAGGCAGGAGGACTGCCTTGAGTTTGAAACCAAAGAGTTCACAAAGAGAGTACAAGGCCAGCCTGAACTATAGTGAGACGCTGTCTTTAAAACAAAACAATCCACCAAGAAGCTAATTTGGTCTTCCCATGAGCCAGCAGCAGCCATGCAGGACCAGGAAAAGAAACAAGAAGCCAGTCTGCCCTTCCTGTGAGCCAGCTGGCATGTGGGCTGGGAAACAAGAACTCCCCACCCCCAATCCATAAGCAACCAGCTGATTCAGAGGATCACAGGCTGAGTTGATAGCAACTGAGGTACAAAAAGGACTTAATTCTTGAATTGTTTGATTGACTTTGCAGGCCTAAAGCTGATAGTCTGAGCATCTAGTAGAGGGTAACAATATGCAATATAGCAACTATGGAGGATTTCCTTCTGTCTGGCTTTTGGAGTCCAATAAAATTCTAACAAAATTGGTGGAAGATATAAACAGTTCTCCAGTAACATCTGGAGATTATAATCCTCCCTCAGCACAGACAGAACAAGCAGATAAGAGATATATGAAGAAACAGAGGAATTAACACAATAAAGCCACCAGCCTTACTCATACAACACTCCTCACAGTGGCAGCACACAGCTTTCTCAAGTCCAAGAGGCACATTTCCTTTGATGAGCACAGATTAAGTTACAGTGATTTTTTTCAGTGCTAGAATCAGGTACATTAAGCATGCATTCTACTACTGAGTTACACCTCCAGTGAATTTTTAGAAAAAGCATATGAAGTATCTTCTTTGACCATCATGACCTGAAGTTAGAAATGAATAATGGAAGAAAAGCTGAAAAATTCACAACCAAATCATGAAAATTAAACAATACACCCCTAAACAAAGTACCGAAGAAAAAAAATCACAAGGGAAATTGGAAAATACATAGAGACAAATAAAAAAAAATGCATGCCAAAATTTATGGGGTGGAGCAAAAGCAGTGCTAAGAGGAGAATTACACAATTAAACAAAAAGACAACAAATGAACAACCTAACTTTACAATTTAGGGAACTAGAAAAATAAGACTGAACTAAACCAAGGGGGCTAGGGATATAGCTCAGTGGCACAAGAGCCTGCCTGGCA